CTGAGACTTCCTCTGTGCCAGCCCCCATTCCCCAGAGCAGCAGAAAGTCCAGTTAATGCCATTGTGGGTCCGAGGCTGGTTAGCCTCCGCTCCCTCCCACTGCCAGAGTTTTGAGACGTAGCCCAGGCCCCTCATCTCCAGGCAAGTTGGACGGCTCAGGGCAGAGCGGAGGATCCTCCTCTCCAGGCAAGTTGGACGGCTCAGGGCAGAGCAGAGGACCCTCCTGTGAGCCCAGCACAGGGCTTGGCGTTGAGTTGTATGGTGGAGGTCGGGGCTGGCTATGGTGATCAGGGTGGGGACACCATGGCCGGCCTAGGGTCTCTCTAGGAACTGAGTGTGGACTTCAGGGTTCTTTTCCTTCTGGGGAAGGGTACCCTCAGTCCCTCTCAGGGAGGGAGCAGGCCCTTCCCTGGAATAAAGCCAGAGGCAGTGGACACGGGGGCCAGGCTGTGGATGTGGACCTACCAGGACCAGGGTCTGTCCCCGCCGTGCCCTTCCTTTTCTCTGAACCTCAGTTTCCCTATTTCTAAAGTGAAGCAGTGGTGATGGCATCCTGAGTTCCTGTGAGCTCTGTTGTTGAATCTGACACACCTCCTTCCAGCCCCTCACCAGATCCACCCTCACTTGCACGGGAGGTAGGTGCACAGTGGGTGAATAAAATCGGGGTGCTCTGCAGACACACAGTCCTTAACCATTAGCGGGGCTGGGGAGGCGCTGAAACTCGCAGATGCAGCGGAGTGGCAGCGGCTGCAGGACCGGCTCCATTATTGCAGGGCTCAGCGCAAAGTGAAAGCGCAGGGCCCCCGTTCAGACATTCTCAAGAATTTCAAGACGGCAATAGCAGAGCATGAAACCAAGCTCAGGGGCTTCGTGGCTGTGCAGGTCGCAGGCCAGTCGCCCGGCCCCGGCTATCTGGAACACTCCACGCTGGGGAACTCCTCTGTGGGCTCTCACTGGGCCAAGGAAGATGAAGCCTCGTGTCTCCCAGGGTTCTGGAGCCCCTCCCCTGAGGGTTAGGATGGGCATCGCTGTGAGGGAGCCCTGGGCCTCCAGGACAGGGCGTGTTCCCTACCCTTAGGTGTCAGGAGGAGCGGGTGATGGACTCTGCCAGGAGCCCCCAGACATCAGGGGCTTTGGGGTTGGCTGGGACTGGGCCTGAAGGACAGGTTCTACCTCCTGTCTGCATCAGCTGCTGTACGGATGCTCATCCATGTCCTCATGGACTCACCCACTCATTGATTTACTCAAGGAAAGATTGATGGGTTTTTCTGCTCAGTGCTAGGCCCACAGGGGTTGAGGGGTGGGAGAGTCCCCCCCGTCATGGAGCTTACTGCCTAGCAGCCTCAGGGGCGTGCAGGTAGGTTCGGGAATTCCAAAGAGGCTGACGTCTCTGCCAGGGCTGCTGGGCTGGACCTGGGTGGTGGTGCCTCAGAGGAACCCTGGGCATCTCCTTGGCTCGTGCTTACGAGGCAGGCATCACAGAGGCGTGAGGGCAGCAATGAAGTGGAGACCCATAAAAGCCCTGGGCCTGGGCACAAGAGCTCCTGGCTCTGCTGTGTGCGATGCCAGGCAGGTCACTTGGTGGTTCTGTGCCTCAGTTTCCTCAGCCGTAATGTGAGTACAGTAATATCAGCCCCTCCCAGTCGGGGGATGGGGGCTGCGAAAGAGTGGATGAGTCGATGCTGTCACAGGCTGAGCCGGCACAGATTGGGATCCCAGCACCCTGGCTCCCTGGCCCATTTGATAAAATGACGTTGGGAGAATAGGAACAGATTTGTGCGCTGCCTACCCCACAGCCGGGAGGACGGGACGTGAGAGGATGAGACGCAGGGTGATGTGTGCATCCTGAGGAGACTTTGAAATAATGAGCGGTGGCAGCAGCTGACCTCTTGCGGGCAGCAGTAGCTCTTCTTTCTTCGTCTTCTGCTTGGACATTCCTGGCCGTCTGGGAAAGATCCCTGTGGGCTGCGGGCTCAGGCAGCCTCTGGATGGGAGGAGACCCTTGGCAACGGCCGGGGCTGTGTGGCCCTGACTCACATTCCCGATTTTTCTCCCACCCAGATCAAAGAGCCCCAAGGCTAACACACCAGCCACTGAAAAAACTGTCCCGGGGATATTTCATTTCCAAAGCTGTTAGCCGAGGGCCCCAGAAGGGCATGTCGTAAGTTTTGGTTCTTCGAAACCACTTTTAATAGAAGTTTCTTCTGAAAACACAGGCTTTCAGCGTGGCAGCAAAGAATCCGAGCTTGACGTCGAATTGCTTGGGATCAAATTCTAACTCTGCCACTTGCTGAGTGTGTAGCTTTTGGCAAAATGTTGAAGCACTCTCTGCTTTAGATTCTTCATCTGTAAAACAGAGATCATAACATGGGGCTCCTGGGGGCGTGGGGCGGGGGGCAGCACGTCTTCGGCCTCCCTGGGGCATGGGGGGGTGCTGTAACTGTGGGGCTCATCGCAGAAACCAGTGGTTCTTAGCTATCGTTATTCTTAACGGCGACAGCCCCATGACTTGTGGGTCATTTCACGTTTGCTACTGAATATTTAATCATCACCATGGCATCATCGTAGACTGGAAAACTGAGAAGTGTTGAAGTTGAGTGTCCGCTAGTGCAGAGCCAAGTGTGGAACCCGGGTGGTCGGACCTCACATCAGCGTTCTTCTCCTTGACGACTGCAGAGTCAGGTTGTGGTGGGGCTGCCTTGCTGTCTGGCTCCTCCAGCACTGGCCCTTCCTGGGTGATCTCCTTGTTTCAGCCCTGGGCAAAGACAACCCCCACAGGTACCCAAAGTCCCATTCGGTCGGGCCGGTTGAAGCCAGTAGAGCGATTCTGTCCCCAGGACAGAGTGGAAGGAGTGTGGTGGTGGTGGTGGTGGGGAGTGAGGCACTGGCCTCTGCCCAACTTCACTGCATACATGATCCTTCCTTTGGGCAAAGTCACCTGTATTTCTCTCAGTGAGTGGTGTGAGTGCTTGTTATACGGCAGGTGCTGTGCCCCACACTGGGGAGATAAACAAAGTCTTAACAGTTTATTACTCAGCAGTGGACGCAGACCCTGTGAGCTGTGCGGGGTTGCAGGGAGTCCAGTGGGGCTGGAGAGGGTATGTGGAGGGGGCATTGAGCCCAGTGTGGGGGGCCTTCCTGGGGGTGGTGTGGGTCAGGCTGAGATCTGAAGGTTGAGCAGGAATTCACTGAGGAAATAGGGCTGGGGAGTTTGGGGAAGAGCATCCCAGGATGAGGAACGCCTTGTGCAAAGGCCCCAAATGTTGGGGTTTAGAATGAGGGGGTGGGCTGGTGGGGACTCTCCCCTTAAGGGAGGGGGAGGAGGAAGCAGTCTTGCTGGGTGATTGGGTGACTGTCCACAGCGGCAGAGCTAGAATGTACAGGCAGGAGGGACGGGGACATGGAGCCAGCCTCACAGCAGGGTGTGCCCCAAACCCAGCAGTCTGCAGAACGGCAGGGTGCCCTCCAGAGCCGAGCTCCACCCCTCGAGGCCAGGGCAGAGCCTGGATCTCACTGCTCCAAGATCAGATTGGGGCAGGGATTTCCTCCTGGATGAGGCCGGATCAAACAGACTTTGAGGTCCCTTCCAGCTGCCACACTCTGGCTGCACAGAATCCCCTCTGGGAACAGCGTGACTATATCAAATATGAATCAGTGGGTTCAAGTCCACACCCTGTCAGCTCCCCACTCCTCGGAGGGACCCGGCTCCGATGGTAGGCTGTGAGCTGACAAGAGAAAATCGCTTTGTTCCTGAGCATGGCGTAGCCAACCTGGCCCTGATTGACAAGGCCTTGCTTTTTAAAATCATCGCTGCCTGGAAGATGCACCCTGTCCCATCTCGGGGAACAGCCCCTCCTCGTGTCTTCCCTGCTCCAATCACCAGGGAAAGAAAGACAGGTCAGCCCAGCTGCTATCTGTGGAAACAGCACCTTAGGGCCGAGCACAGAGAGCTCTGCTTCCATGGAGGAGCCCGACCGTTGGGGATGACCAGGGTGGTGACCCCAAATAACCAGGCGAACAGCCTCTCCAAAACCCAAGGCTGTTCCCATCTTACCTCCTGGGGGCTTCCCTGGCCACGGGAGTGTTAGGAACAGCTAATGGAGACTGGCAGTGAGTGAAATGAAATTTGATGTATATGAAAACGCAGTGGCCGGTGCAGTAATTGGGAAAATCTTTTTCCCGTCAGGGCTGGTGCATCCTTACTCCCCACCCCTACCCTTTTTTTGTTTACACAGTTGTTTCAAAAAACAATTAGATGCTCCTAAACACTTTTATTTTCATTTAATAGTTGCATTTTCTGCACAGGCCTGAAATGCGAACAGCGTGGTCAGGTAGGGCCCTGTATGTGATAAATGAATGAATGAATGAATGTGTGATGAATGAATGAATGAATGTGTGATGAATGAATGAATGCTCTCAACCACAAACACAGGTGTGTACCACCGAGGACTCCTGGGCCCCCAAGCGTCTTGGCTGTGCCTCCACAGACACCACTCCAGAACAAGTAACGACAGACGGACCACAGGGACCTGCTCTGGTCTTAGATTGCAGCCCTGGCAGCTGTTTCCAGCAGGCTCGGGAGATCCTCTAATGTGCTGGTGGAGACAAAGCCCCGTCTCCAGAAGCCTTGCCAAACACACTCCGTCCTCACACAGGGACCACTGCCCTGGCACTCCCTTTGCCACAGCTTGGGATTTTCCAGGGCTGGATTTGAATTATTTCCAACAAATGGCAGCTACTGTGTGGATTTCACTGGATTCAGATGTTCCCAAAGTCATTCTGCAGAGCACAAGCCAGTCCTCAGAGCAGAGATAAGCCCACATCTAAGGGCTCTCATGCAGGTTGGCCCAGAGCCTCCCGGGGATACTGACTGAGAGAGGCCCCTTGGCAGCTGATGTTTAGAGACCCCAAATTCTGGCAGGGAGTGGTGTCGCTGTACCTCTCTTTGAGAACCTTGAAACCCACTGATTTCTGCCTTTTACTTTCTGTTAACACCACAGGTGATCTTGATCCTGACGAAGTACTACCACGCAGACATGGGGAAGGTTCTGGAAAGTTCGCTGTGGCGGTAAGTCGGCCCGATGGCAGGCCTTTCTCTTATGCACCTGCGCGCCGTCTTCCCAGGCTCTCCGCTGAGGACTGAGATCCAAACACCTCGCTGTCGTAGCCCCTGTGAGTCGGTGGCCTCGCAACTTTTCTTTGGCTAGAAAATGCATAAGGGAAAAGTTGAAAGTAGCTTCACAGTTTGGGCAGTGGGTGTAAATTGCACTGCAGAATAGACAACTGTTCAGAAAGCATCTTGGCTTTCTTCTCTTTTCTTTCTGTTTTTCTCCCCGCTTCCTTTCTTTCCTCCCCGGAGGAGGAGGGTTTGCATTGTGAATTCAGGTCAGTGCACAATTTCCCTTCGCTTGTGCTCAGAACTTCACACGCAGCTCCTGGAGTCCACCAAAGGCTCTGATTATGCTCATTGTTTGGACACTTTTCTTTCTTCCAGGCTTAGCCAAAGAGCTTGGTAAATAAATAAGCTGCTGGCGATGGGGGATATCTCTTTATGTGTGAAATGTGAATCCAGTCCAGGAACATTAGGTTGATGTTCTAAATGAGATGTTTTAAATGAGATGTTTTAAATGAGATGAGGAAGAAGGAGGTTTTGAGAACCCATTTTGGTTATCATCCTCTTCAATATTTACATCCACTCACCCAGGAAGGGTACAGATGGTTCCCAGCCTCTGGGCTGTGGTTTCAAAACTTTTCTCCCGCAAAAGATTCTCTTTCTTCCATGCACCGATTACCACCTCCATGTTCTCTGGGTGTGAAACCGTTTTGCTTTCCAACATATGTTTCTCAAGTAATGATTAATTCATTTTTCTATTTGAAATCCATAAAAAGATGCCTATCCCTGCTGATCAGGACCTTGAGTTGGTTTATTTTCCATTTTGGCTTTGCTTTTAGCTAAGGGGTTTGGTGATTCATTCTGTGGGTTCTTACTGAGGGATTTCTGCGATGCGCTGGGAAGTTATTGAAACGGTGTCTTGAGTTGGGTTCTTTCTTTGCTGTAGAAGGAATGACATCGCCTGGAGCCCACGGGCCTGGTCATCTGTGCTGCTAATGAAGCCAAACTCAGGGGTTAAGACTCTCACAGTCCCCTGAGTGGTCCTCACCTGCTCCCCCAGCAGAAACACGTTTCCTAGAAGCTCCTCTCAGTGTGGCTTCACCTCCCAGACCCACTGGTCTCCTCTAATTCCATCGTCACCACCAGAAAACGGGGGGTGAGTGATGGGCGGCGTCTCTGTGTAGAGGACGACGGATGTTCCCTGCCACGGCCCCCCGTTGCTTTATGTACTGGTGGGTTGCTTTGAAAATGTCTCGTTCCTCCAGTGCTGGGCAAGGTGGTGTTCACTACTTCCAGACAAGAGCAGAAAACTGTAAGCTCTGTGGGCCCTGTGAAATCTCATTGCTGCTCTTTGAAAATGTAAGTTCCAAGGCCAGTTTTGGGGCCAACACTCCTGGACAGGGAAAGCCGAGGGAGGGTGCCCTCGCTGCTGGGCAGGGGGTCTCAGGGCGGGTTCCTCGGTGACAAAGCAGATGGAGAGGGTCAAGTCTTCTCCTCCTTCCAGCAAAGGCCCTCAGTTACCTGATTCGTCCCAACTCCAGCACGGCTGTCAAGCACTGGGCCGCAGCCCTCCTTGGCATGGAGGGATCTGCCTGGGGCTACCCACCTCAGAAGTTTCCAGAGCACCTGCTTCCCTCCCCTCACTGCAGCCTCTCAGTGTGGCTGGACGTGGAGGCAGTGAGACTGTCTGAAGCGTCGTCTGAACAGGGAGCGATCTTTCCTGGTGTGTCGTCTGAACAGGGAGCGATCTTTCCTGGAGTGATCTGCATTTATACGACAGAGTTGCTGGCTTAGTTCACGTTTGCTGGAGTCCTTGTGCGGTGGGGGTGGGGTGGGACTGACTGTGTCTGGCATAGGACCCAAGACCCCTCACTTACAGGCTCCAGACAGGATTCCTCAGAAGCAGGTGGCAGCCGAGAGGTCAAACCACCCACTCACAGCTGCTCCAAGGGCCAGGTAATGGGGGCTTCCTTCTCCTCCGGAGAGCCTCCGTCCATATCTGTTAAATGGGGATAAGATGCTCCGAGGGGAAGTTGTGAGAACCGAATGAGGAAATGTGTGAAATGTCCCTAGAACAGTGCATGATCTGAATTCAGTTTTTCTCCGAAGCAAATGGACAGATTTTAATTTTCCATGTTCCCTTCTCATCCCCGTCTCTCATCACCAGATATTTCTTTGCCGTTATTAAAAATGCATGCGGAGACGTTAGTCATCTCACCAAAGTTCATCCACATCCCTACCCGTCGGAGCCGTTCCTTTCTTTGTTTATATTGTCTTTTCTGATGCTAACATGTTTATATAGGTAGAGACACAGAATGCAGGCTTTTTTTTTTTTTTTTATCATTTATAAAATATGTTTCTCGTTTTTCCGTGTAGTGACAGGGTCTGCGTCGTCATTTCTTTTATGGCTGGTATGAGCCCCTGGAGTTGGTTCACTCTAATACTTAGCTGTCCGCTTATTGATGCTGCCATAAAAAATTTAAGCAGGTAGTTTTCCTTTTCATTTTGTTCGCTGGGATGAATCAGTTACAGGACTGAACCAGGGAGTATGAGTGGATTTACAGCTGCTGTGCGGTGGCTTTCAATTCTTCCTCAAGACGAATGTGCATTCCCACCCGGGCAGTGCCCCGCGTCCTGCCAGCGACTTTTCTAACTCCTGCTCATTTGACAGGAGGAGCCGAGGGCAGGAAGCGGACGGCATCATTGCTTTAATTTGCATTTTAGTTTTTGTTTCCTAATGGGGAGGAGCAGTTTTCTGTGTTAATTACTACTGGCATTTTCTCCTTTGCACATTACCTGCTCCTGTCCTCACCCTCTGTTTTGGGACTCATGCAGGAAGTTGGTGTTGAGAGTTGAGAGCCTGCCATTGGCCTCCTCCTGCCCCCGCCCTGTGTCTGTGTTTCAGGCCCCTGTGGATGGAAGGCTGGCGGTGCCCTCGTCTGGAGAGCACATATTAAATAGGGCTATTAAAGACACAATTAATGAATGTGCACTGCGTCTCCTAAGAATCCTTCTGTGTAATTGCAATAGATACACTGTTAATGACAGGTACGGTGTTTTCATTCTGGAAGTGGCTCTCTGAAATCTAAGCTGAATGTGTTTTTAATTGTCCTACATTTAACCGGCCCCGCGTCAGTGGCACCCCCTCCTGGCTTCCATGATGATCCAGTGCTCTGCCCTTTTCTTCTTGTGGTGGTGATGGGGGTCTTCTGCTCAATCCCAGGCCCCCTTGAATCAGTGCAAAAGGCTGGGGGTGAGGAGGGGAGCGCCACTCTTCCCTGGAAAGCCCCTGGTTGGCGTCAGGTTTGAAGTGTGCAGGGCATGCTCCTCCACGTGGTCTCGCTCACACGAGCCACAGAAGCCACAGAGGGTTGAGCAAAGCCCGATGTGTAGACTGTGGGGTCTTAGCAGAGGCACAAAGAAGTCACTTAGAAAAGCCCTTAAAAAGTGCTGCAGCTTGGGCCAGCCAGGGAAGATGTGGGTTCAGGGTAGGTCCTCCCAGAGGTTTTCCGGGGGAGGAGCACGGGAACAGCAGATCTAGTGCAGCACTTCTCAGGTTCCAGAGGCACTCGGGGTTCCTGGGATCTTCCTGCAAGGAGCACATGGTCAGACTCCACTGGTTTCCAGGGTGACCCAAGACTTTGAATTTCCAACAAGCTCCCGAGTGCTGCCCATACTGCTGGTCTGGGGACCACACTTCAAGTAGCCAGAGGTTGGGCTGGTTAGGACCGAGGTTTAAAATCCTTCCAGGGTATTTGAAATGACATACAAGCCATATCCCCTGCAAAGACCCCACCCCTGGCTCCTACCCCATCCCCAGTCTCAGCTCCTCCCACTGCACCTCTTACTGTTCAGTGTCCAGTGACAGTAGCCTCTTGGCTGACCCTGGACTACACCGAGCTCAGTCCTTGTAAGGGTCTGTGCATGCTATGGCTGCTGCCTGGAGTGCACGTGGCACCAACCCCAGGTACTGGATCCTGTCCCCCATTCAGTCTCCCCATAAACCTCTTTTCTTCAAAGAAGCTTCCCTCACTACTCAGTGCAAAGAGGCCCCCAGGCATTCTTCACAACCTCTCTCATTGAAGTGTGGGAGTTCCTGTTTATGGTTTGCCCCCCTGCCCCCACACCACCACCCCTAGAACATAGGCTGGTTGAGGATGTGAGCATGGAGACCTGCCAGGTTTATCTTATTGATCACTAGATCCCTGGAACCAAACTCAGATCTGGCACGGGAGATACAAGGTGGGCATTGGATGAATGGATTGACGGATGGATGGATGGATGGATGGATGGATAGATGGATAGATGGATGGACAGATGGATGAATGGATTGATAGATGGATGGACGGATGGATGGATGGATGGATGGACAAATGTATGAATGGATTGATAGATGAATGAATGGATGGATGGATGGACAGATGGATGAAAGGATTGATACATGGATGGAAGAATGGATGGGTGGATGGATGGGCAGATGGATGGATGGACAGATGGATGAATGATGGAAGAGTAGATGGATAGATGGATAGATGAATAGATGGATGGATGAATGGATGGATAGATGGATGGACAAATGGATGAATGGATAGATGGATAGATGAATGGAAGCATGGATGGATGAATGGACAGATAGATGAATGGATTAATAGATGAATAGATGAAATAATGGACAGATGGATGGATGGATGGACAGATGGACAGATGAATAAATGCACTGATGGATGGATGAATGTATGGATACATGGGCGGATGAATGGATGGATAAATGGATGGACTGATAGATGGACAGATGGATGAATGGACTGACAGATAGATAGATGAACAGATGGATATATGGATGGATGGGTGGGTGGATGGATGGACAGATGGATGGGTGAATGGAAGAAAGGATGGATGGTGGTGTGGTTTTTGGGAAACACTGCTGAGACCTAGAAGACCCTTTACATTTACAAGGTCATCTTAGGGGATGCTGTGGAAGCCAGGAAATTAGAGTTGGCTCTTATTCTGTCAGGAGGAGGAAGAGAGTTCTGCAAGCATTCTGAGCTAGAGAGAAAGCTTACTTTGGACTGCTCCCTATGCCCTGCCTCCTGCTGTGATGCAGCCTCAGGGATCACCCTTGCTTCACACTGAGCACGGCTGTTGGGCAGAGTGGATTTGAAACAGAGGGACAGTCCTATAGACCAGGGGATTCTGTTCCTGTGCCATCCCTGAACCAGGACCACACTAATGGTGGGCCAACCCTACCACTTCCTGGGTACATTTGACTTCAAGCAGGACCTTCATCCAGGGGCAGTCTCAGGATAATTGGGAGTGGAACTGGTCCCAGGTTTTCTATAGGATGACTTAGTTGAATCCTCTCCTTTTTGTTAGGGATAGGAAGTGATTCTTTTTCTTTATCTTCACTTTAATTAATAAATCTTGAACATATCCTGAAAAGTACAGACCATGGTAGGACACATGCCCAGGTACCCACGAAAGAGAGCCAAGTGAGTGTTCACTAAATAATCCATAATTCCCTTCGTCCCAGTCTCCCTTGTGGTTAGTTTGGGGTCGCATGATTAGTGCGGGCCAGTGGATGGTGAGCAGGAATAATGTGGGTGCCACTGAAATTTAGGGCCTCAGTTTTTACCACACCAGAGCCCAGTCCAGCTCAATGCCTATAATCTAGCTGTCATCAATGTCAATTTTTTCCATATATGTTTCGAATCGCTCTCTCTCAAAGAAATACACTAAGATAGATTCTGATGAAGTTCAACTCTCTCCTCCATCCTCTCACACCCATCCTCGCCACCCACCTGGAAGTAACCTCTACCCTGAAATTGATGTGGATCATCCCCCTTTTATATTAAAAACATAAAACACAATATACAAATCATAATTTATCTTGATTGTCGTCTGTATGTATATATGTATGTCTACCTGCAATCGATATGTTCTACTGCTTAGCTTGTTTTGCAAAGAATGACATTACTTTGCCTTTTGAAGTCTGCTTTATCTGCCCAACTTTGTGTAAGTAATTTGTACATGTAGCACGTGTAATCTATTTGATTTACATTTTCCCCTGCTGTGGGATACTAGGATTTCTATCCTGAGATTTTTGCCACTCCAATCAGGGCTGCAGCAAGCATCTGTGAACACGTCTCCAGTCAGATGCTTGGATAGGGTGGAAGGTGTGTGGGCAACTTCCTTTTTCTCTACCTATTGCTAACTTATCTGTGAGGTGACTCATTGCTCCACACCTTGGAGTTATCAGACTTTCCATGTTTACACTCAAGTGGGTGTGAGATTATAGCTTAATCTTGTTATTTTGCATCTTCCTGATACCTGGAAAGATTGAACATATTTTTCTGTTTATTGACTTTTTGGTTCTCCTCCTCTGTGACTCATCTGCTCATATCTCATGCCTGTCTTTTTACACTTGGATTGCTTAACTTTTTCTTGACCCCTACCTCTCCACTCTAAAAAGCCTGTGTCATTTCCAGGCCCCTTACTTTTAAGATATGCCCTCCAAATGTATCTTGAACTCCTGCCAGGTGCCATTCATTCTTTCCTTCTAAGGAAGGTTTCCTCCTAAGAATGTTTTACCATGCCACATTTATGTCTCAAAGTGCAATTGTTAGAATAGCGATTCTGATGGATGGTGTATTAGTCAGCTCTTATAACCATAATGCTGTGTAACAAGCCACCTCCAAACCCAGTGGCATGCACTCAGCATTTATTCTCACAGCCCTGTGTTGACTGTGGTTTGGTTGCTTTGGTCAAGGTTTGGCTGGGTGTTCAGGCTGCTGGTTGGTGGGCTTGGGTCTGCTTCATATCTGTCTGTGCTTGGACCAAAGTTGACAGGAACAGGACACAGGCCACCAGGACATGTTCTTCTCATGCCGAACACCAGAGCTCAGGAGCCAAGCTCAACCACACAAGCACATTTTAAGACTTCTGCTCACATCGTATTTCCTAGGGTTCCATTTGCCACAGCCATGGTCAGGTTCAACATCGGTGGGGCGGTGGGGGGGAGTACAGTTTGAGGAGGTTGGTGGGATGGAGGGAAGGAAATGCTTCCTGAATGGTAATTTAAGGTATTTCAAGAAATCACTGTTTCCAGAAAATACATATTGTGTGGTCATATTTGATAAATATATTTTAGGGAAGAAAGTTTCAGATTTACTTATAGTAGGATTTGTTAAGGTCTCTGATACACTAGTACACATTATACTTCTCCAGGAGAAGGTTATACAACATTTCTCAGTCTCATTTAATTCTGTAATCTTTAATTTTTATTTAAATATTATTTTTGTTTATATAAATTTACAAGGTACAAGTACAATTTTGTTACATGTGTAGATTGCATAATGGTGAAGTCAGGGCTTTTAGAGTGTTCATCACCCGAATACTGTGAACTGCACACATGAAGTAATTTTGGATAATCCACCCCTCCATACCCCTTTACAATTCCAAGTCTCCACTGTCTGTCATTCTCTCTGCCTCCATATGTATATATTTTTTAGTACCCATTTATGAATGAGGACATGTGGTATTTATCTTTCTGGGTCTGCCTCGTTTCACTTAAGATAACAACCTCCATTTCTATTTATGTTGCTGCAGAAGACATGATCTCATTCATGTTCATGGCTGAGTAGTCTTCCATTTTGTATTTACGCCACATTTTCTTTATCCAGTAATCCACTGATAGACACTTGACTTGATTCCACATCTTTTCTATTGTGAATAGTGCTGCGATAAACATGAGTACAGGTATCTTTTTGATATCCTAATTTCTTTTCCCGTTTCCTCTGGGTAGATACCTAGTAGTGGGATTGCTGGATCTAATGGTAATTCTATTTTTAGGTATTTGAGCAATCTCCAAACTGTTTTCCATAGAGGCTGTACTAACTTATATTTCCATGAACAGTGTACAAGAGTTGCACTGTTCCACATCCTCACCAACATCTGTTATTTTTTGTCTTTTTATTAATACCCTTCTGACTGGTGTAAGATGAAATCTTATTGTGGATCTAATTTGCATTTCTCTGATGATTGGTGATGTTGAGCATTTTTTCATCTGCCCATCGACCACGTGTATGTCTTCTTTTGAAAAATGTCTATTTGTGTCCTTTGCTCACTTTTAAATATGATTATTTGTTTGTTGTCGTCGTTGTTGTTGAGTTGTTTGAGTTCCTTATAAAGTCTGGATATTAATCCCCTGTTGGATGAATAGTTTGCAAATATTTTCTCCCATTCTGTAGGTTGTCTGTTCACACTGTTGGTTATTTCTTTTGCTGTGTGGAAGCTTTTTAGTTTAATTAAGGCCTGTTTGCCTATTTTTGTTTTATTTGCCTGTGCTTTTGTGGTCTGAGTCATAAATTATTTGCCTAGACAAATATTCAGAAGGGCTTTCCCTAGGTTTTCTTCTAGCATTTTTATAGTTTTGGACATTACATTAAAATCTTTAATCCATCTTGAGTTGATTTTTGTATGTGGTGAGAGATCGGGGCCCTTTTTCATTCTTCTGCGTAGGACAATTCAATTTTCCCAGCACCATTTATTGAAGAGTGTGTGTTTTTCCTAATTATGTTTTTGTCAGCTTTGGCAAAGATGAGTTGGCTGTAAATATGTGGCCTTATTTCTAGGTTCTACATTCTGTTGCATTGGTTTATGTGTCTGTTTTTATAACAGTACCATGCTGTTTTGGTTACTGTAGCCTTGTAATATAATTTGAAGTCAGGTAATGTGGTGCCTCCAGCTTTGTTCTTCTTGCTTAGGATTTCTTTTGCTATGTGGGCTCTTTTTGGGTTCCATTTGAATTTAGGGTTATTTGTTCTAATTCTGTGAAAAATGATGTTGATATTTTGTTAGGGATTGCATTGAACCTGTAGATTGCTTTGGAATGTATGGTCATTTTAACAGTGTTAATTCTTCTAATCCATAAGTACGAAATGTGTTTTCATTTGTGTCATCTACAATTTCTGAAGAGGTGTTTTGTAGTTTTCCTTGTAGAGATCTTTCACTTCCTTGGTTAAATTTATTTGTAGGTATTTTTCTGGTAGCAGTTTTAAATGGTTTTGCCTTCTTGATTTCATTCTTAGCTAGATCATTATTGGTGTAAAGAAACACTGCTGATTTTTGTTCCTTGATTTTGTATCCTGTAACTTTATTTTATCATTTATCAAATCTGTTTTTTCATGGAGTCTTTAGTTTTTAAAATAAAGACTAGTCTTTAGTCTTAATTTTAACTTTCATTTATCAAATCTGTTTTTTCATGGAGTCTTTAGTTTTTCCAGCTATAAGATCATGTCTTGAGTCAACAGGTATAATTTTACTTTCTGTTTT